TGTCTAAGTGTTGGTAGAGAATCACGACAGAAGAATCAATTGTGGAACGATGCGCCATATGGGAACTTCGGAATGGAAAAACTTCAAACGATGATGACTCTTGGCCACCGTGTGACTCGTCTAAGATACACGTAATATTTTTCTAAGCCCGTTCGGTAGAAGGATAACCATAATAATAAAACTTGTCTAAAGTACGGACCACAAGATCTACTAATATAGACCAAAACAAAAATTCTTATTGGAGTTTTACTGACTGGCTTTTATCGCGTTGAACGATCTTCCTAACTACAGAGGAGATAGAATTCCAGAAGGGCGAAAACATATCACGGAAAATGCATATGTATTCTATAAAAGTTGTTCAATATGTTTTCCATCCTGCTACTTGCATAGAAAAATACGGAGAAGGTAGTTTTCTTCCACCTTCAGCATTGTACCAATTGTAATACTTTCGTACTGCGCGACGATACTCTGCTTTAGCTCCTCGATCGTTTTTGATTTTCGGGAATGATCGGTTCTCTTTAGATATCAGCTCGATCATCTACCCACAACCGATCATCCAACCGGGTCTCTCAGTGCCTTTTCACAAACCACTTACAATACATTACAATACATTCATGAACTAGTTTACCCGGCTTTGTCGCACAAGCAGTTGAATAGTAATAGTGACCTGCCTGATAAGCTAGTGTCGAGTTTCCAATCGATCGATGACAGCTGATGCATGGACCCGTCTGTGCGAATGATTGAGCGATAATCGCAGTTGTACTTCGTAGAGCACCGATTAAATTAGACTGTTCAGAAGTAATCGTAACAAAACAACTTTCGTCCCTTCAAAGAGGCTTAGCTACAGGAACTTCTTGTCAATGATTCTGAGCGCCGACTAGAATTTTGCCCATGGTAACTGGCACACTTGAATGTGTGGCAAACGGCTTCCACGCATGAAACCATTTTTCATGTGAACGGAAATATTCATTGGGACGTTGAAAACGAAGACACTGTTGATTCAAAATCGCTTTATAGTCGCAATATGTTATTATGAACTAGTAGTATGCACGGCAAGATAATGGGAACGTACTTTATAACGGAAACGTAAAATGTCAGAACAATTTTGTTTATCCATCGATACATACTGAATGACGAACGCCCAAATTTTACTTGAAAATGATGATTATGTACATAGATCAACTTCTAGACACCAGTAAATAAGATTTTCTTCATCGTGTAAGACAATCCTTTCAAACGCGCGTTGCACAAATCTTGAAAGAGTTTATTTAGTTAAGAACCTCGTCTGTGGTCGTGTAGTGACCTGGTAACTTCCTCACAGAGGAAGCGTTAGGCTTCGGGATAGAGACTTTAGGATTGGCGTAACCAATGGTTAGATCCACAGCGTGATATGGCTTAATGTCGTAAACATTGACACTCGAGGATCTACTCATCATCTATGCCACGGTAGCCTCCATGAAATCTCTTTTTTTCACCCCGACATTGATTTGAACACTCCAATCTTCCCTCCACTCTTTCATCTAAATAGGAAAGTATGAGGTAGCAACCAAAACCGGTTGTGTTGATCCTAGATTACGGGATGACGCAAACCGCGGNTACCGTGTTAGCACCAGTGTGCTTCAGTGCTTACGAGGTGTCCGTGATTCCTAATACGAGATTCGTAATTTGTGATCGGTGCGTACTTCAACCACTACACAGATGCATAAAAGCGCATATTTAATGTTTGTAAATAAAACTGAAACTGAAGCTGGTTATGTAATGTAAAGGTGATATGTACTAGTACAACTGTATCTTTCGAATGAATTATACGATAGGTTTCTAAAAGGAAAATATCCGACTGATCCAATTTGTGCTTCTGTAGTTATAATGAAATTAGCCACCGCTCAGGTGCCCACTTTTTCACGCAACGGTGAACGATATCAGTAAGGAACTTTCCATTAGGTGTACCAAAACAGAATGTATATTTTCTCTTGACGGCTGACCCAGTGGTAACGTCACCAAATTATCACCTCGGAGGACATGTTTTCGAATCCCATCCCCATCGTCTGATTTTCTCCATTCTTTGTCTTATGGCAACCCTTTGATTGGCAGGTTCTTCCTTCTTGAAAATTGTATCATTATATATTTAATAAAAACAAGTAAAGTTATAATAAAATACTGGTAAAAAAACATATACACACATGTTTGATATTATAAAGCGATTGGAATATGCCACCTAACGACGGGTTCACTGATGCTGACCTTTTATCGCCGCGTGGTTAATTTAATCGAATTGTAGTTACATGGGTTAGTTGGTTACCATCCATTGTGCCCATCCATGCCAGAACCAAGGGACTATCAGTGGGTAGACAGAAGTAATTTATTCGAAAGCTGTTTGTCATAAATTATATCCACAAGCTCCATTGCTCGACATGCTCTTTTCGGAAGTAAGCCACAATACAATCGACTATGATGATGATGATGATGATGATTCCGGATAACAACTCAAGTGAGCAAATCTTGCAGTTCGTGTTCACTTCGGTTACCTTTTTTCCATTTCGAGCGTGATCGCTTCCATGGAAAGCATTCCTGTTGGTGCCCGACTAGTGATCCTCAGTTGAGTTGATGGCTTCACACTTAATGATAATCGCTAAACAGTGGTTCTTAGCTCTCAATTTCAAGTGAGTTTTGCTGGCTAATTAAAAATCTTCTGAATACTAATGATGAGTTCAGACAACGGCAAAACAGCTTGTCTTGTGCTATTGTGGGTAATCCAACGGGAAATCAACAAATGATATGGAGCTCTTTCTTTGTTCCCTGAAAGGGGAGTTTCAATAGGTCATATATTTATTTATAATTTCCATATTTGGGCTAAAAATCAACGAATATTTTAACTTCTTTTGTATTTGTCTAGTATACGAATGTACAGTCAACTTATGGGGAAATTCTTACAGACACGCCACTTTATGTTGTCCATTTGTGAATCACTTCTATAATTTTAAGTTATGTATTTTGTGGTTGGATAAAGGCCCTTTTCAGTGTCACCGGTAGTATATGAACGATCGAATTAGAGAGTGCCAAATAGAGCAATGATGGCAGTGATCACTGCCATACGAATCGTAGGTTTCCGGAAACACTTTGTCAATTCATACAAAAAAAACTTATTGTAAAGACACTTACTCGAGGTCTGTTGCGGTTAGTTACATCCAAACCACCCACGAATCACTGCATCATTTGATTTATTGATAAATATACTGGTTCTGAAAGACTATCCAACGAAATATAACCGAGGTCGCTAAGGCGAACGTTCTGTCCATATATATATATATATATATATATAATTTAAAAGGTGGCTTGCAAAGCTGAAGATTAGGCGCGGAGAAGAAATGTGGTGAATAGTCATTCAGAACCACCGTTAAAAGATCGATATACTTGGTGGAATTCGAACCCTGGTAGAATGTATTCTAACCAAGAAAGGCTAGGTCCTGTATGGGAGTTGGTTTGAATACCACGGAGGCTACTGATAGTCTCACAATTCACATACAAACCACCCGTTTTGCATGACCTGTAAATCATTGAATACATTAGTGTAAATTACTCTGTCCGACAATGCATCTGACGAAGCAACTGTTGTACATCATATTAACTATTCTTTACACTTAAATAGAGAGAAACTTTTCGCAGAGAACGCCAAACCAGAGACATGTTTGGAGCGCATTAAAGAATGATGAACAAATTAACCGAGACGTGCCCGATTAAATCCTCCCCGCTCCTCACGGTGTGAGTTGAAGCAACTGAGAACGATTTGATATGCCTTTTTTACTTGAAAAATTTAACATCCCAGGGGATGCATCCTGCTCCCCATTTTCAGCAATGTTGAGGTTGATCGGTATCACAAAGAACGGGGAGGCAAATGCACACACATTGTGCAAAATCGATGAACCGGTGAACAGTGGTTTTGGTTCAAGATCTCGTCTGTGGTGTTTGTTTGTTCGTTTTAAGTTTCCTCGAAGGACGGAATTGTTCGGATGGAAAGTTTGATATGTCTGTTACACAACATCAGTCAGGTGAGGATTGGAAGAAGAATATTCTGGTTAAATGAAACTCATCTTACGAGAAACGAGAACAAACATTGTATGATAAAGTAGTGCTATGAGAATTGTGCAAACGTAAATAAACATCACGAAGTTGAGATGTTGAAAGTGGGGTCTGAGAGGCAATAGCAAGAGAAATGGATTAATGGATAGAACAGATAAAGGCTAGTTGGGAGATGAAACCACTGTGATGTAGGTTCTATGCAGAGCCCCATCGGAAACACGTTCTCGTTCGGGAAGATTGCGGTCGAGTTGAAGCACATGTAAACTGTTTAGTTTTCCCTGATTGGTTCCCGTGGTTTGGAGTAACTCCTGTAGTGAGAGAGGACACAACAAAAAAGAGTCAGTTCACAATTTGCTCATGTATACTCGGGAAATCGAAGATACGGTCAAGTCTATTTTTATCTACAACAAGCTACGAATAGTGTAATGCTACTGTATATTCTATGATGTGTTTCTATTGTGTTTCTATACGGAATAATAGAATCCATTTGATTTAAAAGTTCGGCCATGCACAAAACTCCATTTTACTGATCTACTGGATAATAAATATTCCTGATACGCGCTTACAGAACATGTAGCACTAACACCAAAACAGAACTTTGATTGCTGATGGTATGCAGTCAGCAACGAATGGTAATTTTATTTCGCCTGTTCGCCGAGCTTGGCAATTTGTTTGCAAACGTTTCATCACCAACCGAGGTGAAATCATCAGTGCTTGTGAAGTGAATGGTTATTTCTCATTAGAAACCACAACCGACACCAAATGCCTATATCATCACCACTGGTACTTAATTAGCCAGTATTAAAATGCTAGTAGAATGGTTGTAGTGATTATAATAATTGGTAACAAACTAGCATTTGATTGTCTTCGGAATGTGAAATGCATTCACACATGCATGCATACATACATATATGCATGCATACTTAGACTGGACTGAATTCAGAATATGTTGTAACCTCGACGCAAAAACCACATCGTTTCATGTTCAAAGATATACTATACCAGCAGTGCAGAACGATACGTAACATAGCTTCCTCGACATAGTGTTGTCTTCGTGCCTCAAGCTTAAGTCGTTTGTAGTCCTTGTGACGATCGAAGTTCGGATCAGTGAACCAGTGTTTGGTGCGCTCGATTGAGGCCCCGTCACTGATTACCATCTCCCATAGCAGAACGGCGATGATCGAGCCACATATAGGTGCGACAATGTATATCTAAAAATGAAGCAGGGAAAATAATAACAGTGCTGGATAAACATAAAGAAAAAAACGAAACAAATAAGTCGGTTTGGGCGAAGCATATGAAACCCGTCTGCACGGGTATGGAACAGAGTGTTTCGTTAGGTATTGCAGGAGTTCAATCTTAATAACCGGTAGGTCACAAACGATAATTATGAATGCATCGCTTCTCAATCTCACAGTAGGTTTAGTATCGTTGCATAGCATATCACATCCTAATTTTGTGTATATCATCATAGTGCATCAAATTCAAATATACAAAACACTACTAATTAGTAATTAGATGAAACAGCGCTCAACTCCCCTGAAGTTTATGTTAGTGATCATTTTGGATTTCACAATTATATCAGCTGCTTTGTCTACGATTTTCGGCCACATTTTGGTCCGAGGCTAACACCGTGATTTTTTCATCAATTACTTACCCATATCTTGGTGAACTCGTTGTTGTAAATTGCTCCACCCAAAGAGGCTGACGGATTCATCCCACATCCGGTGGTTTTGGCCTAAAAGATAGAGAACAAATAAAGAGAAAAATAATGCAATTGATGTTTTGTTTGTCTGAAACACGAAACCACCGAAATACAGTATGGTCTAGTCGAAGAAACTGAAATTTTACCTTAAGTTGACCATTTCTTGAAAATAAAAACCCCTCTGGGATTGTAATTGCTTCTGGTAACAAAATTAATAAAACCAAGGCGGTAAAATGAATAAAGAACTTCATGGAGCACCTAGTAGATTTTGATGGCCTGGAGAAAAGTTACCAGGATATCAGATTTACCTATGATCGAAGCTGCTGTGCAGACAACGGAAGAACTGTCTCAGAAGCTCACATTTACACAAGCTGATTGCGGTTGTTTTGGATAACCGAAGTGTGAACTGGCTACTACTTAGTTCTGGGCCTCGCACCCGAGATGGTCAAATAAATGCTTACCACTTTTGAGTTATAAAACGAGTAAAACCTTAGTGTGATGTTTTCCGGTTGTAGACTGACCGCATGAACTGAAGATTTTACCTAGAGGTGTTTCAAAATAAGAAGTAATGACAGATTTCTTACACTTCCACTGAGTAAGCGATTTTACTGTCATTTGCTTCGAAATACACTTCCGAATTCCGGAACCTTTCCCCAATTATGGTCATTATAGAAACAAAACTCTAAACATCCCCTCATTATCTCTAACACATTTATTAGTGAAATGCCGTAAAATACTACGCAACATACTACGTTTAAAACTTGTCAACTAGTGATAATAATTTCCGTCGGATTGTATTGAGGAAATTGAATTAAGCAAATGAGTCTTCATTGAAATATGCAAGTGCAGCCTGTTTTGACTTACCAATACTGAAGCCAGCATCAATATGAGGAGAAACACAACCAGTGAGAATACGGTCACGTGTCCTTGGGCCCAATGAGGATTTCTGAATTCGTCAATCGTACTCATACAGCAAATGATCAGTAGGAAGCTGCATATACACTCGAGGCCGAATGCTTGTCCGTCTGTCACATTAACTCCTGGATTGTGTAAGCTCAAATGATATCGCTCCGACAATCCGGGAACCAGACGAGATCCGAGTGCAATTCCGAGGACCGCTCCACAAATCTGACCGGCTATTCCCAGTATACAATAGACAAAGTTTATACGTCTGGTCATCATCAATGCGATAGAAAGAATCGGAGTGACTTGTGGTCCACTGACCGGTCCAATGATCCATACAGCCACGGCAAAAGCTGCGGAAGCAGTAACCGGACCAGACACATCGCTCTGCAACTCATTTTTTCCACCGTGGACGGTAACGAGAAAACAGATCATTCCTAAACCCAAAGCTTCTGAAGCGAATATACGACACATGAATTTGGCGTGATACCAATCACGCCGAGGTAAAGTAGCCATTGTGGCCTTGTAGCTGGGATCCACGTCATGGTCTCGCGCCATCGGTACCTGATTTTATCGACCTGTGGTAAAGTTTTGAAGCAAACAGATCATGGAATTAAAATAAATTGGGAACAAACTGGAAGAAACACTAACGTGGACAAAAAAGAAAATAAATAAGAAGAGCAAGTAGCTGCGATTATTAAAACCATTGGTATTAGTATCTCAAAAATGATATGATCGCACTAAAGCTCTATCTCAAAATTGTTTGAGTGGCTTAGGGTATGACAAGGGAATTGAAGCCTGCAGTGTACCGGATCCATTTTCTGCGTCGTTCTTCACCAAGATGGTGTTTAAAAATTTGGTTGACTATTTCAAGATATGCACAGAGTCAACCTATACTGGTTTCATTTTATTCGTAATTTTAAAAATCTAAAACGGTGCTGAAATGCGGTAAATGGGTTTGGTCCGGTAAATAAACGCAAAGGGCATAAAATGGATAAGGAGTAATAATTAAGCATCAATAAAACTCTAAATACTATCAGAGCAACAAAAGCAAGAATATAATTATGGTTTACCTCAATAAATCTAGAAGTGATGTAGTGATGCGTACAGATGAAACCGAACCAATTCGGTCCTTATATATACTGTCATTGTTGAGTTTTGCCGTACGACAGACGTTTAAGCACGTACTTGTATGATAAGCCTAACACCTTGAGCACTCCAGTGACCAATGAAATTCAAACAAGGGGATGCCATTGTTGGCTGCGGGGGAGGGAGGGGGAGTATGTGAAATGGTTGAGCGATTTCGGTTGCGTATGTGCTTCACATTTGTCACTTGACATCGGTTCGAATAGTTCGTGATAGGATCGATGCAAATAACAAACTGTTGATAATGGTAAAACAGATTAAAGTTTAATTTCTCGAGGGAAATAAGCGCTGAAGTTTGGTCGGCTGAACCAATCGATGGAATGCTTTACACATTGCAAGTATTTTTTCTAGTATATTTCTGTTACTTGGAACTATTGTTTTTAATAGGTCTTTTCGTAAAGAAAATTGATAAAACGGTGGTCACTTGCTGTAGTATAAGAGGAGTAAAGAACAAAATGTAATACTGGAAACCAAACAGTGAAGATGTCCCACTCATACAAGAGAGTAAAATGAGACAAAACTGTTCCCGTGAATACATTTCATACTTTTCTCAGGGTAATGAGTATCAGAGGGAAGTCCCAATTGATCGAGAATAACACCTTTGCAAACAACTTGTGATGTTTATTTCATCTAGTCAATGCAACCAAATTTATGAGTAGCCAAAAATGACCAGCAAATGGACCGATTAGCAGAGTAAAATCAACTACTTCAAAAAGTGGTCAACATTTAGATTTGAAAGAGATATGTTTAGATGTTGGAGGAACAGGCAGCTAAACAAAACATACAAACCGACGGATGCTGATTGACTGACTGACTGACTGACTGACTGACTGACTGACTGACTGACTGACTGCGGATCAACGAAGAAATTTCACCAACAATTTTGTGTGCCAATCGCCGATGCTTCTGTCGTTATTACTACATATATGTCGGCCAGATCTCTGAGACATACGTCTGGTAGTTTGCTCCATTAACCTCACCTAATGTGATCAAGTGCAACTAAGCATAGAAAATGTGGTTAAATCCGTCGTTTTTGAGATCAGAACCGGTTTGAAGTTAGATTGGATACGGAGTTCAGCGCCATAATATTTGCATCTTTTGAAAAACAAAATTCTTCTGAGCACTATTTGTGCAACTGTCTCCCTTAAGTGTTATGAAATGATAGACATGTTTCTGATTCCCTGTTCTTCAACTTGGTTTAACTACACTAATCAGTATGTTTTCATCGATAACCGAATCAGACTACTCACTTTCGGTGAACGCGCTCTTGACCGTTCGTTTTTCGTTAACAGCGTCTACGGAATATAACATAACGGCTTTGTCGGTTGGACAATCAATTAAAGTTGTCTTCCGGTCCGGTGAATGTTTATATGAAGTCAGACATAGAAGTAAATTGATAGCTACACATCTAGGAACGCGAGGATTTCCCGGGGTGTTTTCTAGTGTGAAGCCTGTTTTCCGATTGAACTGGTTGAACATTTTCGGCACACGACAATTCTCATTCCCGGCACCGGAGCGTAAACAGAGTACCCACCTGAATAGTATTTGTCTACTTCTATTTAGTTTAAAGATACGCGTTCGACCAATAAACTAATATGAACGTCTACTTTTTTGAACGTTACGGCGACCCCACAGTCAGTTCATCATTTCGCTTATATGTCTGCTGGTAGCGTAATGTTTTGACTGGTTATCCGGGGGTCCCTTTTGAGCAGAAAACTTGGAAATAATGGGGTTATCTGAATCAACAACATATGTTTTGACATTCTTCATGATCATGATGCGCAGTACGGTGAAATTCTGCTACTCTCTTACACCACAAAAGCTTATTAATATGAAAATGGTTTTCTGATTATCAATTGACAAGTGCCCCGGAATGGCAATCTCTTTTTACTGGGAACCCACTTCACCATGGCCGCACATAAGCTATCGCTTTAGATTGTAGGCAACACATGTCGCTCGTTGAATCAGCGGGATGAACTTTTTATGCTGTGGGTATTACCCTTCGTTTTAGATTATCTTAACTACGGAATTAAATTTACCAGTTCTATCCGACCGACTATTTTGACGAATATAGTAATACAATCCCATACATTTGGGCTTAGGACTACTGTGTCTTCAGAAGATCGGATGATCAGACAATCGTTGTTTTGCCAAACAATAACTTCAGGAAGTGCTCGGGCCTTGGACCAGTAATTCCTAAATATTTTGAATATAAAATGGATGTTTGCAATAAGTTGTATGTGAAGATTACCCAGGATGAAAACAACAAATTTGTTGACAGTTCATTCACTTTTGCAAATTAAAGTCTCCGACTCTGAATGTGGTACTTCACGGATTTGAAACACAAACATCTGATTCCAGTAGAAATAATTTACGATTGATCCATTCTAACTAAGTTCATCGAGGACCAATTGCCGAGAAATTTCTTGTAAGTACCTTCACCGCATACTAGTAACTGGTAACTGCATCTGTATTTTTTACTTGATTGTCGCAGTTCAAAACGTTTTTTTCGATTATTTCTTTTTCCGTTACCTAATGCACAGCTTCAATTATAGATAAACAGCTGTCTCTCTAAATAACTGCAACGATCGATCAACGATCCGAGCGTGTTTAAAGATTTTCACCTTAAACGACGTGGGGTAATTTTGCTAGGATTCCTACGAAGCGAAGCTCAGTAAGGTTTTCGTAATTCCCCACCTATAAAACAGTCAACTATACGTTTCTTAAGTGAAAACTGCGCGGAAAGGTGTAAACACGTGCAACCAAACAAGCGCGTTTTCGATAACATCCTCGTCTGATTAATAAAAAAGTTCAATTTCAAGCATTCTACGGATATATTTGTGCTGTTCAGTGCAATCATTTCTGCCATTCGCAGTCGCAATTATGTTTGTTCCACTGCGGGCAGCAAAGCCGATCGATATTCCCAAAGTGACCTTTGTCATTGTTATGTGTACTTTTGACCTCACGGATCCGGACGAGCGGGCGACCGAAACAAATACTCTCGCTTCGCGTGACCTTCTCATATTTAATCAGTTTCGCCGTTCGATAAAGTGCAAAAATGGCACGTCACACAGTGTCAACAAGGGCCACACCAGGTGTTTCGACAGCATCGGAAGTATGCGGCCTACGGAGTTGTAAGAAAGACGTTAAAACGGGGATATTATGCACACTGCCTGAAACACTTTCACCTTTCACGTGGAAAAATCTTGGTAAAATAGGCAAAACAGTTAGCCACTCAGCCAGAACGTATATGGTTCCATACAGAATGTGCGGAAATCCCGATTGTAAAATGCATTACTTGTATCATACACCGAAGAAAGAGTGAATTCAAAAATCGCCACACTTGTGGCAAAAATAGCGGACTTATATTCACAGATCACACCAGTTAGCCTGATCCGTACACCTAGCAAACAACCAAAATGCTCCACACAAGTGGTCACCTCACGGCGGCGGAGAAATACGATAGAACTGAGCGCGACGATAGAAGCAACAGTAGAAGCACTTGCTACCTCGGAGCCCACACACACCCAGTGGCCTTCCTTATCTGTTTCTTCAAAGAAAACACCCCTGCCGGCAAAAAAGAAAGACGTGACCAAAACTTCTTTGAATTTGATTTGCACAATCGTTGCGGAGCCCACAGCATTGTCACTGAGAGAGAGGCGAGACGAAGAGCTGAGGTGCTGGGAGGCTCTGTGTACGCAAGTGAGGAGCATCATCCAACCTATGGGTCTCACACGCCTTCGGCGACAGCTCAATTCACCTTACGCCGGAGAACCCAGATTACCTCGGGTGACACTATGTTGTGGATCAGGCTTAGAAACGTTCTTCTGTCCAGCTTTCTCCTTCGAGGAAGTTCAAGCAAAACACGGATTCTACCGGACAGACCATGGAGCGAGCGCGCACACCAACGGAATAACCCGTATAGTGTACGGGAAATAAACAATGCCCGGGTGGTTCTTATACATGGAGTCCTACAATAAAATAATCCAAACACATCAAAATGCCAACAAAATAACTGTAAAGAGTGGCGATTCATTCAACATCTCATTGGATGGCGTCAGGTCTCCACTACAGCTGCCATTCGTCTCCCCTGTTCTCCTAACTACCACGGAGACGGCCCGAGAATTCTGAAAATAACCCTAGGCACACCAGAAATGGCTACGACTGTCTTACAGTCGTGGTGTGAAAAGAAGATCAAGGGATCATCAGAGATGTGCGATTGAGACCGATGCACAACCCAGGACGAAAAGCTTTTTCTCAGGTAGAAAATATCACCTCCATACAAGCTTGGTTCCAACACATTTCATGTTCCTCTCCGCAACTGGCAGATCAGTCCCAAAAGACCCTTCTCCCAAAAAATCTTCCCTTAGCCAACCACGATACGGTCGGCTCAACTAACGTTCTGCTCCCCG